AGGCACATTTCTAGACTCCATGCTACTACTGAGATTTTTTTTTAAATCCCTATAATTCTTGGTACTACCCTGCAATCGAACCCGAGTCCCAGTCGCACTTGCGACCACTCTGCCCACGAGGCAGGCAAGTTAGTTTGTTCAATGTGCAATTTTCATTTTTTTTACAAAAAACGTTACTAGGGTTTTCGCTAGGGTCGTGTGTGTGTTTACAAACATAATTTCGCATACACGTCTTACTCAGACCAGGGTGCTTACTCTTGAAACCAATCTCAATGTCAATGTCAATACAATTTCAATCATTATGTTTTCGGCTTACTCACGTAATAATTTGACGAGGAACTCGACTAGTTTCAAGCCTACTACGTCAGTAGCAGTATGATGCATGACACGTACACCAGCACAGCGCAACTCAACCATGTTGTAGGGAATCGAGCGATCCACTGCCCGTGCCACTGCCAATGAGACTTTTGAGTGAGCATTACAAAAAATATTTGTCCTGCCTTCTTAATAGGGGATGTTTTTGTTAAGCAGTAGACTTTTGTTGATGATATACATGATGCTGATGATTATCATCCATCCAATACGGATCGCCTCCCCTAGCAACTTGGGTTAGACAGACATGTCGTTCAATTAGATAAAGCTTGGCTTCCTGACCTTTGTCGAATATACATTATATAGTGATATTAAAGGTCATATAACAAGTTTTTTATTTCAATATATGTATATGCTAACTTTCACGACTGTATTACGTATGTAACATCACCGCTTGTACCTTGGTAGGGGACAGCAGGAATCTGTCAAAGTCAACGCATTTATTTTTATTAAAAATCAATCTATTATTTATTAAGATTATTTAGCCACCACTGATAAACGGCGAAGGAGAACATCGTGTGGAAACTTGGGTTAATATTTTCTAGTTATCAGTTAGAAATTGCCAACCCGCATTGAGCAAGGTTGGTGATTAACACATTAAACGCCACGGGGGTCACCGGTGGCCGACATTAGCGGAGAATTTGCTTTCAACAATTTTTTATTGGCAGTCAAAGCCTTAATGATCAAACCTTCTTCGTGTGCGAAGAGGCCTTTGGTCAGCAGTTGTCTTTTAAAAACTGTTGATTTGTGATGTGAATCCATTTTGTGGTTCAATTTATGAAATGGTTTAATTGAATTATCGTTAGTAGTTCCCCAATAAGTGTAAACATAAATGGCGATGATAACCATTATATCTGTTCACGTAATTAAAAAATAATGTTTTCTCCTTCCAGGTTTGACACCGGACCACACACAGCCACAACAACCTGTTCACCCAGACAATCAAATGTACGTATACAACTCACACGTAAACGTTCCTGCTTTAAATTCCATAGACCTCTACTCTAGATCACAAAACTACGTTCAAAATTACACAAACATAAGAGAAAATCCACAAAATCTAGTCGTGCATAGGCAGTTTGAGAACGCTAGCCCTTACCAGGAAGATTTTAAAAAGTTACGCCAAGATGGCGGACTTAATAATGGCGCGAAAGAAAAGTGTGAAGAGCCGAAAGAGAATTTGAAACCAACGGACGAAAATAAAATATATTATTCGGAGTACAGTCAGAATTTTACCGAAGCGAAAAATGAAAATGATTCAAGCGTCCAAAATAAGATTACTGAAGATATTTCAATGAATATCAAAGGGCAGTATATTTGTTATAAGTGTAACGATGTTTTTCCCTCAAAAAGGGGGTTGAAACACCATTCAAAATCGTGTACTGATAACGATCAATTAGTAGAAAAAGTTGGGAAATTTAGTTGTAGTCAGTGCGCATACAGATGTCAGTCTCCCGCGATTTTAAAGATCCATGAACGAACGCATTCCGGAGAAAAGCCGTTCTCGTGCACGTTCTGCGATTATAAATCTGGACAGAAGAATAATGTGGCTAAACATATCCTAGTTCATATGAAAGAGAAACCATTTAGATGTCAATACTGTGACTATAGGTGTGCGCAGAAAAATAACTTAGTCGTTCACGAACGGACGCATACGGGATACAAGCCATTCGCGTGTCCATTTTGCGAATACAGAACGGTGCAGAAACCTAATTTAGTTAAGCATATGTATTTGCATACGGACCAAAAGCCTTTTAGTTGTGATATGTGTTCTTATAGATGTGTCCAAAAGACGAACCTAACCAAGCATAAACAGCGGCACTTAAATGAAAAAGAGGGTGATAAAATTGATATTAAAAACCAAAGTAAACCGTATAGGCCTCGCCAGAAATCCGTGAAATGCCCCCACTGCCCTTACCGGTGTGTCCAAAAATCTAGTATGGAGAAACACCTCCAGTTCAAACATGGGACTCAGGAAGATTTTGAGAATGGCCTGAATCTAATGAAGAGTCCAGAAGACACGGAAAGTATAAATTTGAGTGTGAAAAAAGATTTTGAGTGCCAACAGAAAGATAGTGTAAGCGAACACTCATAGTTTTTAGTTTTTAGGAGCTTTTTATGTGTAGGGAGGTGATGTAGTGTAGTCTATTGCATTTTGGAGCGTCTTTTTGGGAACGGTATAGGTGATTAGGACTTTATTCTTAATTGCTGTTAAAATTGTAGTTTCTTTTCTACTCTGTAATGGGAAATAACTGCCGTGGAATCATTTACGTCAAAAAAAAATTATCCTCTTTTTTAATTCGTTATGAATGCAATAGACTATCAATCACTAAACATTCTTTTTATAATAAGCTCCAATTTATTTGTTTTTTTTTTTACAATAAATTAGTGTATATGGGTAACAGAGATGGAAGATAGATTGGTCAATACTATTTTAATTATGATAGAAAGAGATATAATGGCTGTATGACTTTATGTTTGTATTTTTTATAACAATGTTTAATTATCATTATGAGTACGTTTCCGACCGCTACTGGATACAGGCTTTTCCAGTATCCGACCACTGAGCTTTGTCTTCAGCTCTTCGCAATCACTGCCAGCTACATCGTGGATATCGTCTCTACAACTAGGCCAAAAATCTTTCTACGTATCATCACATTAATAGCATTTAAAAGTGCCCATTAGTGACCTGCACTTCTGCTCACACGGAGAAGGTTTCAGCATTAATCACCACGCTTGCTCAATGCGGGTTGACGGTTTCAAACTTATAATTAGAAATTATTATTTTTTTGTATCAGCCTGCCTAACTGCCTCGTTGGCCGAGTGGTCGCAATTGCGACTGCCGAGCAAGGGGTCTCGGGTTCGATTCCCGGGTCGGGCAAAGTATTACTGGGTTTTAAAAAATTCTCAGTAGTAGCACGGAGCCTGGAACTGTGCCCGGTATATGGCAATAGGCTCACCCACTATTACATTGGACTCATAACATAAATAGTGAAAAGTGGGTGTTACATTGTACAGTGGTATAATGTGCACCTCTCCCTCCCCCTTCGAGGATAAAAGGTGTGATGTTATGTTATTTCTTTGTATGTTGTATGTCAATCAATGTGTTAGAAAAAGACAGATGTAAGTCCCACTATCGTTTTATCTCTTTCTCGCATGTTAAATAATATAGGCCAGTCCATTTTTTTGTCTTTAAACAAATAATTATGAATATAATTTCTTTTGTAAATATTATCAATTAATATTATATAATAATAGGTAGAATTAATTGTATTACAATTTTATGTATTTTGAGATTATTTTTTACTCGGATTTTTACCATTTAACATCACTCGTTTGTTCAGTTAAAGCGAAATACCAATTATTAACATACAACTTTTAATCTTATCTCCATAGAATAATGCACAAATTACTTCGTTGATTAAAAAAATATGCAAAAGAATAAGCAAGAAACTCCGTCGTTACTCTTTTTAAACAAAAAGTTATTCGGAAACAACCCCTATTGCCTAAACAATAAAGGTTATCAATGTTAGATGGTTGACGCAAACGGATTTCTAGTAGGGTTTGTCCGAAGATAAGAGAATATATAAAAATATTCGATGTTTTTGTTAGTATTGATGTGTTTTGATAACCGTATCGTGTTTTTGTGGTACTAGTTACCTATATGAAGGTATAGCTATAGTTTTAAATATAGAGTGCCAAGCACGAATAAGTATCGCATTCGTGACGTAATAGTATCGAGCGCGTTCAGCTTCTCTGATTGGTTGGTTTATTGGAGCCAGCCAATCAGAGTAGAGAAGAAAGATTGATTCAGTACAGAGACAGTAACCATTGGTTGTCTAGAGCCGACTGAGTTACAAAAGACATGGCTTCGTAACAAAGCGTACAATAGGGTAGATGCCTAATTATTATTTTAATGTCCGTCTGGTAGATTATTTTAAATCATTAGACACGTATTTTTTATTTTCTTACAGAAACAAATACTTTCGACGATATATTGATTTGAAATGTCGCGTGACGTCACTTCTATGTACATTTTATACGTAGAAATGATATTTTAGCCCCCACTCTTAAACTTCGATTGGATTTATCTAAGTATTGTTTATAATACGACAAAATAAAAAAAAATACGTGTCTAATATTTTTTCATTACCTAACTTACGGACTAATTAGATTTTTAATTTGCACACCCTGTTATCATCCCAATTTAGTATAAATAAAAATAGCTACTGTCTCTGTATTGAATCAATATTTATTTTTCACCTGCATACTAAATAGTGTTGCTAGTGGTAAAATCCGAGTATTAATGAGGTCGTATTGGAAATTAGAGAACATGAAACTTCTATTTGAAGCACTGGTCTGATTTAAATAATTCTTCTTGTGTTGGATATTGCTTTCATCGAGGAAGGCTGTAAAAAATTGTACTGCAATCAATAGAAGCTGAACAGACCGGTTGAAACCGTAATTAGTAATTAATAAATACACATGGTGGAATTTCGTAATGCCATCTGAAGGGGAAGTACTCTTAATACTTTAGATAGAAAATTATACTCAAAGAAAACATTCGTTTATTTTTGAAAAGAAAGAAAACGACATAGAAAGATTTAAAAAATTCGCTTGCCGCACACGATAATTGAACCGACTAAAATATATAAAAGTGGGAATTGTGGGAGAGCCATGCTTCGGCACGAATGGGCCGGCTCGACCGGAGTGATACCACGGCCTCACAGAAAACCGGCGTGAAACAACGCTTGCGTTGTGTGAGTGAGGTTACCGGAGGCCTAATTACCCTAGTCCCCGTCCGTAGTCCCCGTCTCCCGAATCCCCGAATCCTCCACAATCCTCAAATTCCCAATTCCCAAAAGGCCGGTAACGCACTTGCAACGCCTTGGTGTTTCGAGTGTCCATGGGCGACGCCGATTGCTTACCATCAGGTGATCCGTATGCTCGTTTACCGGCTTATGCTATAAAAAAATCCCTTACTTTTATTGCATCGATTATTAGGGTCAATAAGGATGAAATCTCTATAACAAACTTCATTATAAGATTTAATTGGTTTCCTTTCATTAAATCTAAAGTAATAAGAGTACTTACCCTTTAGATGGCATGACAAAATTCCACCATGTGGACAGTGTCTTATGTTCTCCAGTTATCACACGATCGCGAGTCATATATTTGTTAATATAGGTACTTAGGTGTCAATTGTTTATAGTTCAATGTAATGTGAATAAAATATGTCAGAGTTGGTCAAAAGACTGCTAAAGCGTGGAGCATGGCAGGCCCACTCCCCTATTACACGGGACTTAACATAAATAGTGAAAAGTGGGTGTTACATTGTACATGTGAATTTGTATAAAGAACGGTTATATTGTTTTATTATTTTTTATGCGTCAATCAATTGTATTTCTAGTTAGCAAATCGATATATAGATAGGTTTAAACTAGTCGACATGTTGCCCAACTGTCGGGCGATTGTCGCGCAACTTTTCACCAACTTTGACGTGTTTTAATGATAATAATTTTGTGATATAGCTTATGATTATTATTAATAGTTATGAGTAATTAATAATTGTGCTCTCTTTATAATTGTTCCTGTGTAAATAATATGGAAATTAAATTTAGAGGTAAGTGAAGAGCAGACATTTTTGATTGTATTGTGAAAGGGACGTATTTGTTAGTTTACATTTTTGTACTAATTCTGTGATGCGTGGAGAATAGTATTGTAATAGGACAATTCGTAGTATAGCTGCAGGTTAAATTCAAAGTCAAAGAAAGCGCTTTTAATTAAACCGTAATTTGGTACTTTTCAAACGTCGACAAATACAAAATCAATAATAGTCAGCCAGTCTATCCGTCAGTGAAGCTAGGTGCTCACAAAATGTAGATTTAAATTTAGTTATTTAAAACCCATGTTTTATGCCACGACAAGGACCTATGTCATAAGCAGAATGTGGGAATATCGATGAGAAGAGATCCGTGTTATATAACGATACTGAAGTCGATATCTCTTCTCAAGTACAGTAAGAAAGGGATGCAAATATATTCAACAGATACATGCATCCTTTTCCAACGATGCTTGAGCAGCGATCCGTGCTTGAGTATCATTAATTCGAGCATCTTTTTATATGCATCTGTATCTGATATATGTATCTTTGACAAACCTAATGTTTATAACCTAATCTACTGTAAATCCTGGCTTACCGGAGTTGCAGCGGTTTTGGGAGGTTGTGGCGGGCTTGTCCCATTAAAAAAACCTAATGTTTGGTAATAGTTACAGGTTCATCCCCCGAAACATGTAAGGTGACAAATACGTTCCTTAAGCCGACTTTATCGTAAAGTTGAAGTTCTAGTTATTAATTGTAGATAGGTATTAAAATTTTGAAATTGTGCAGAGATTAGCTTGCTAGGTTTTTATAGATTTTTAAATGAAGTTTATGTAATTAATTGCTATTCAATTGGTGCTTTTATATAAAAATGATAGTGTGTATGAATATTGGTCTTATGTTTATAATGAATATGTTGTTTTAAGTCATCTCCATAGCTTTAGATATTTTTCTAAGAGACAAATCACTAAAAAAAACCAATGAGAAGGGTAAAGGTTCCATACCCACGGGTACAGTAACTTGTATTCAACATGTATGCTTAACCATTACTTAATATTTCATTAAAAGCATAAGATTCTTCATTGTACAGTGTCCAGCACGGCAATCGACGCCTATGTGTCAATTCATCATTGAATTTTTGATTTTATATCTAAACGATGGAGTAGAAAATCTAATGACAGAAAAGAGTAGGATGACCTGTTGCCCACTGTACAATACAAACTATTGTTGATCAACGTATAATTAATAGGTTTCAAATCAAATCTTACCCTGAATTGAGGTAGCATTCTTATTATGCTTCTATTGTTAAAAAAGACATTGTGGCTTGTATATGTGTGTGTTAGAAGATGGGTGTGCACCTAACATTGTTTTTATTATCTTTTTTTAAACAAAAAACCGTTGCTCACACTAGGATTTTCTCCTGGGTCGTGGGTGCGTTTACAAACATACAATTTCACATAGACACACATCCAGACCCGAAACAATTTTTGGATCACACAAAGTGTTGTTCCGTGCGGGAAACGAACCCGCGACACTTTGCACGGCAGCCGGTTGCCCAGCCACCGCACCAACCGTGCAGTCGTCTTTCCATAATATGCTCTCTTTAAAAGCACTTGGAACTCCTTTAGTGTTCCAGGTTTCCATAGGCAGCGATGATCACTTACCATCAAGTGATCCGTCTGCTCACTACCCTATCCCATAAAATTTATGACTGGTTTCTATAACCTATCTTTGGGTCTAGTAAAATTTCCGTGGTGCTTGGTAATTGGGCTTCTCCCAGTTGTACAGTCTCTTGGGCTTTTGGGCCTAATTCATTGTCTCCTGCAGTAATTCACCGAGGGAAGTGGAAACTATCGTTTTTCTTCTTCTCCTCCTATAATATCTTCTAATTTATTTCGTTGCGGGAACCAAGACAGTTATTCATGTCCTTGAGACTTAATTGTTCCGGTGTTTTCATGGTTGTATCTACTGTAGATCTTGGCTTACAGGAGTTGCAGCGGTTTTGGGAGGTTGTGGCGGGCTTGTCCCAAAACAACCTATCTTTGGGACACATTTTTATGTTAAAGTTATATCTTTGGTAGCCAAATCTAACACCAGATAGGTTATTCAGACTTCAGTCATAAATTGTAATTCTAGATAAAACTCATTGGTTAAGGTGCAAGTGCTACAGACAAAGTATTATTGGGTGTTCTGATTTTGCAACGATATTGGCGTTATGGCTTAACTCGTCGAGTACCGGTTTTATAGACACAATTAAAGAACAATAGGTCGCGGTCACCGATGACCGCTTGGTGTTTGACAGTTTAAATCAATAACCTCTATTAATATTTTGCTTGATACAAAAATTGTTACCTAAAGTCCTTGTTCTTGCACGTCGCTAATGAGGCAGTTATACAGCCGAGATTAAGAACTGATCTCAAGCCAAAATGTCTGGATAGATCTAAGTTTTTGAGTAATAAAAGACAATATTTTTATAATCGACATCAATCCAATAATTGAAATCGGTAATTAATTTCGACCTTAGAGGGCAAAAATTAAAAAAGAAAGATATCTAGTTTATATTTTTGAACAGTTAGGTGCATTCTCTATCTTGGAATTTGGAACATCGCTGATCTGGCTGTGATTATGTAAATCGGTTGTGAAAGTAAATACAGAGAAGGTTGGTTAACTGTTTCAGTTTAACCCATAGTTTAGCGCTAGGTTCGTAAGGACATCACCCAATTTGGGCCTATTTCAATTGCGCTTACAAATATAAATGTATTACTCGGATAGAATTAATTTGAATGTTGCGTGTGTCCGGGTAGTACCGATTGCTTACCATCAGGTGATCTGTATGCATGTTTTTGACCCAACTCAAAAATATTACACCTAATTCTTTAATTCAATAAAAAATTTAACGGCAAAAAATGATGCTGAATAAAGAAATCAGCTCAATTCAGGTGATGTCCTTTAAAAATGTAATTCATTATTTTGTCATTCTCTATCTTAAGTTGATTTCTGAATCAGTCAACACGTATGCTTAAATAATTTTGCCATATTTGTCATAAAGATTTGTCGTGTCTTCAGCAAAATCATTTTATGGTGTGTTAAAATGAATGTAACTGGGATTTGAAGCCATAACGGTGATTTATTGTTATAATAGTTCAAAGACAATCTCAATTAATGAGATACAACGATCAGATTACGCCATTTCTTTTATGCAATATGGTCATAGGTATAATTATGTACCTACAATTAATAAAATTATATGATACTAGCCTTTGCCCGCGACTTCGTACACACATCACACAACAGCAACTGCTGGACTATGAGCTTCTATATTAGAGGGCTTGCTGTAATCCTCCACGTTTAGTAGGCACATGGAAATATAAAGAATTTCGGAAAACTCTTCGTGCTCCCTTAAACACCCTAAGGAAACACCTGCTTGTCAAATTTTAGCTTGCTACGAGCTGTAGCTTCTGCTGGACTTTTTAATCAGTCACACAGTCACTAAGTCTTCAAGGCCCGAGTGAATAGGTTGCTTATGGGACGACGTGCTCCATCGTAGACCGCATCATCGCTTACCGGGCGAGATAGTGGACAAACGTCGGCCCATCAAATATAACAACTAATAATATATAGTTATTTGGTATGTAAGTAAGAAAATAAATATGGATATTACACTAAATTGTATGATTTCTAACGAAGCCATATCTTTTGTAACTATTGCCTGTCTCAGCAGCCAACCAATGGTTACTGTCTCCACTGAATCAATCTTTGTTTTCATACCTTGATACTAAATAACTTTGCTTATGTATTCACGCGAAAACAACTGCACGTATCTAGATGAAATTTGGCACAGAGATATAGTATAAAATAGTACGTAAGATTTTTGTCCTATGAAAATGAAAAATAAGTCGCGGGCAACAGCTAGTCTACATATAAGTTTATTCATTTCATTCCTATAATTATTATAGCAGTTATGCCAACAGGCTGTGAATAAAATGTTCATAAACGTTTTGTAAAAAGTTGCCGTCGCGGGCAACATTTTGTTACCACAGATATTTCAATTGTACCTTAGTTTGTGTACATCACATTTTTTGTATAGTTTTTGTAATATTATGGTTATTTTTAGGATAGGAACAGATTCGAATTGTAGATAAAAAATTGAAAATTTTACTCAAAGGCGATGTCACTGGCAACTTATTGTTGCTCGTTTGTATAAAAAAGTTGTCGTCTGAGATTTTTGTTTCAAGTCTGTTTCTATGCTTTTTATTCTAATTGACATCTTTTTTGTATGTTTTTTTAATAAATGCCGCTTACCAAAGTGAATTTTGTCGTTTTTTTTATTTTTTGAGCAACACCTCTGTCTAGCCTTTTAGAAGTATAAAGCGGGACAGGATATTATTTCATAAACAATAATTAACAACTGCAGGTGAACATTAATCGCCTTAAGTGGCAGTGCTTAAGCCCTCGGGTTAGATTCCTGGGTCACGAAATATATTGTGCATCTCGAATTTTTGAAAACTGCAACAATAGCGTGTTATGTTAATAGTGTCGCCAGGATTTGAACTAGTTTGTGGCGTCGTTTGCTATTAGATATAATATTTATATTCAATAGGTACATCTATTGAAATTGTGTGATGGATAATTTCCGTCAACAAAAGTTATTATTTTCATTTCATCTACTCAATAATAGATGTCGCTACTAAATAAATATTAGGTACGGTCAACAGATGTCGCTTTTAATTCCTTTGGTAACAGACATTTTTCTACTCGATAATAGATGGCGTTAGAGCTATTGTTGCTAAATGTCAGTTCGGAAGGGCTTTGCCCTTGTCATAAAAATTAGGGATTCAGCTCGTGGCTTACCGGAATGCAGAATTAAGCGAGACACAATGTATAAGTATATATATCGTGTCTATTACTATTAGACAATAATAATAATACTATTTATTTGTCTTTATTTTATTAAATTTAATACAAGGTTTGTTTTTCTTTGTAATTGTTTGGATTACTTTATTCGTTAGTATAAGTTTAATATGGTGTAAGTAGTCGCTAGATTTAATAATACCTTGTTATCGCATTGGGTCCTAAACCTGTAATGTTAACTTGTGTGTGTGTAATAAATAAATAAATAAATAAATAAATATTAAGAACTTAAGTAGATATTCAGTGGTTTAATTGATTTTAATAAAAAAGGAGGTTTGAATAGGTCCTCTTTTTGTGAAATCCGATGAAATGAGTTTCGTCAGAACATACAAATTGTTATTAATAGATTTGATTGAAATTAGTATTCAGGTAGCATAGCAGATCCAAATATCCGGCCAGCTCGACCGGTGTGTAACCACGGTCGAGCGGAAAATTACCCCCCCCCCCCCTACAATCTCCTGAATCACCAACAATCCTCAAATTTCTAATCTCAAAAGGCCGGTAACGCACTTGTAACGCCTCTGGTGTTTCAGGTGTCCATATGGTGGTCTTCCATCAGGTGATTCGTCTGCTCGGCTACCGGTTTATGTCATAAAAAAATCCAGATCAGTTACTTTGAGCGACCCACAGTAATCCACAGGAGATTCACAGGAAAAAAAGATCTTAGTAACAACTACATTTTACAATATACAATCACCTCACCACTTCAAATTTCACAGACAGACACAAAATCATTTCATTCTCCCTTCCTTCTATACACAACAGCGAAATTGTATTTTCATCTGAATTTCCGAAACCTGATTTTGAAGTCGAAAGCCTGAAGCGACGTCAATCATTGTCCAGCGAAAATGGTTATAGTAACTTGTAATTCGTGAACGTTCGGTAACATTCGGTTATGTTCGGGAGTCGGGAATGAATTAATTCGATGCGTGTGAGTGACAGATTTGAAAGGGAATGTTAATTTAATTAATAATTTTATTTTATTGTTAGTTTGGTTTTGTTTTTGGGGTTTCGTGGTTGAGAGGGGATTTGTGATCGGGGTTTGAGTTCGATTTCTGGGTTGACTAATTTAGGTATCTAAGTAAGTATCTTTTCCGTGCGAGAAGAGGATTTTGGTGTGTGCGGTGCAGTGGCCACTTATAAGCTGTTGATGATGATGAAGTAAGTACGTACCCATTTGTAAGTAAAGCTACTTTTTGTTGTGTCTAGCATAGTGTGAGAACGGGTTTGATTTCTGGGTTAAAAAAGTGTTATTTTAGTTGCCTAAGGTTAGTGTATAAAAATTGCTCCTTTGGGATTTTCTCCTGTGTCAGTAGGTGCGCATTTTTTTTTTTTATAGAATAAACCGGTATACGTGCAGAAGGATCACATGATGGTAAGCAATCGGCGCCGCCCATGGTCACTCGAAACACCAGAGGTGTTACAAGTGCGTTAACGGCTTTTACTGGATTTCTTAATTCCGAAAATTGACCTGAGGACTGTTGGGGATTCGGGGATTGGTGAAGGGGGTAATCGGGCCTCCGGTAACTTCACTTACACGACGAAACACAACTCAAATGTTGTTTCACGTCGGTTTTCTGCTCAGCCGTAGTATCACTCCGGTCGAGACGGTCCATTCGTGCCGAAGCATGGCTCTCCCACACTTAAGATACATAAAATGCGCTTACATAGACATGCAAACAAAGTCCTTCCTACATATTAAATCCAGACTCCCATATTATTACCCTTAATTACATTATTTTAAGAATATAATTCCTAATACGCAATTCATGATAATATAAGTAACACAAACACATTTTAAATGTATATCCCTTTCATCCAGTCCCTGCTTACCCCTTTTCAATAAATCAATACCCTAATGGCGCGTGAAATTGTATCAATATAAATAAATAAAGTATTTAGACGTTTGACATTTTGTACTTTAAAGTTACGAGTCCACAAATCTTATTATTAAAGTATCGTAAAATATTTTTTGCGTAGATATAAATATTTTGTCAATAGACAGGCAGGGGTATGGCAAAGAAGCATGTAGCTGAGGGTAAACCAGTTGTCACATATCGGACATCGTTCTGCATAAAAAATATAATTTGCACTTCACCGATGCAGCAATCGTTCTCCTACGACCGATTCACCACTGGACTGTTCGTCGACGGGACGATTCATTTGTTTCCGATACCCCAACAGAGTCTTTCACCTATGGAGACTTTGTCGACAAAACATTTCAAATGTGGGAGAGCCATGCTTCGGCACGAATGGGCCGGCTCGACCGGAGTGATACCTCCTCACAGAAAACCGACGTGAAGCAACGTTTGCGTTGTGTTTCGTCGTGTGAGTGAGGTTACCGGAGGCCCAGCTCCCTTCCCCTTCCCCAATCTCCCCAATCCCCGAATCCCCAACAATCCTCAAACTCCTAATCCCCAGAAGGCCGGAACGCACTTGTAACGCCTCTGGTGTTCCAGGTGTCCCCGATTGCTTACCATCAGGTGATCCGTCTGCCCGTTTACAAATGGCATATGCCACAAAAAAATATGCGTCACTTTCGACGACAGCCCTATTCAGCTACTAAGTGTTTTACCGACACGAAGATAAAATATAAACCTAACTACAGCTCTTTTAGCTACAGACTTTTCATCTACGATGGCGAATTCACCGGCAATCTTAAACTGTCAAACACCGCGAGGACACCGGTGACCGCAACCTATTGTTCTTTAATTGTGTCTATAATGACGGATCTCAAAGAGTTAAAACCAGCAATATTACAAGAAAATGGTTACAGCCGTTAGTAAGGACTCTGTAAGCTGTAGATAGACAGATGTGAGTATGTGAGCATTTTTTGTAATTTGTAATATTGTTAACACTTAGTAGCTCAAAAGGGCTGTTCCTTCACCTTCACCTTCCAAAACCAAAACCTTCACGCCTTTGTTTTAACGTCGGAAAATCTTCCATTGACTGCTTTGCGTCCGGGTGAGGCGAGACTACGTTTCAATAGTACCAAATTATGGTTCAATTGAAATAAATGCTTTTGAGTTTTAGTTTTTTTTAATCATCGAATGACTGCTCCCGCCTGGGTGTCACTTACACCCGTACGCTTAGGTCTGGTTGTGGTTGGGCAGCGAGTTAGTGCCTACCACGGAACAGAAATACCAGTGTCCTTAGTTGATTAACTCTTTGAAAGTTATTGAAAATCATCCCCTAAATTTGTACATACAGAAGTAATCTCTAAACATTGGAAATAAGGTCTATAATGTAGTTAGTGGAGAGTGGCCACCGGTGACCGCTTGGGGATATATGGGGTGGCTGGAAATCATCTTGCGATATTCATCACGCTTGGTAGACGAGTTGGAGATCACAGTGTTAAAGGTTCAGATTTATCAGAGAGCGCTGCTGCCCGGTCTCTGTCATATGTGTACTCCCTTAATCGGGTATACGACACCTGCGGGAAGAGTGACTATGGTGGCAAACGTTTTTCTATTTTCTCATTTCTACACAGCACAACAATAAATACAATACTTCAATAAAAATGTCTAAAACGAAATTCGAAAATTCATTTTTAACGTTCTAACATTCTAACCTAACTTTGGCGAGTTTTCCAAAATGGCTGCCGCTGACACTGACAGCAGCTATATTCGGCGAAGGATGATTGAATTCCGTACAGTTACGAAATAAATACACAAACAAAACACGTCAGGGGTTTGAGTTTTTGAAAAATTGTTGTTTTACGTACCTAGGTAGGTACTGTTTGCAAAGTTCCGTTATGTTACCCGTGAGTTACTTTATTATGTGTAGGTGCTTCGTATAGGACAATGTAATAGTAGGTATTATTAAGTATTTACGTGTGTGGAGATGCTATTTTATATAACTGGCTTCTGTCCGCGACTTCGTACGCGCAATCCCGTTTTTTCCTATTCCCGTTCGTGATTTGACGATAAAATGTAAAAGAAAGGAATTGGATAAAAATTATCACATAATTATGTTTGTCTCATAGTTCTAAGCTACCTCCCCATTAATTTACAGCCAAACCAATTTAACAGTTCTTTAATTATCTATACTAATATTATAAAGCTGAAGAGTTTGTTTTTTTGTTTGTTTGTTTGAACGCGGTAATCTCCGAAACCATTGGTCCGATTTGAAAAAATCTGTCTGTGTTGGATAGCCCATTTATCGAGGAAGGCTATAAAATATTACTATTAATCTGTCAAACACCAAGCGGTCACCGGTGATCGCGACCTATTGTTCTTTAATTGTGTCTATAATACCGGTACTCGACGAGTTAATAGGTGCCGAACCGAAAGATTGAAACCGCGCGGAAGTAAGTAGCTAGTAAATATATATAGATAGAATATAGATACACTTACATTTTGTCGTATTTACGACATTTTTTCATTATCTAACTGACGGACTAATTACATTTTTAATTTTCATACACTGTCTACTAGCCTATTTTTTTATGGCATAAGCCAGTTAACGATCTGACGGATCACCTGATGGTAAGCAATCGGCGTAGCCCACACCTGGAACACCAGAGGCGTAACTAGTGCGTTACCGGCCTTTTGGGGATTGTTGGGGAATTTAAAGATTGAAGAGATTGGGGAACGAAGGGGGGTAATTGGGCCTCCGGTAACCTCACTCACTTGACGAAACACAACGCAAGCGTTGCTTCACGTCAGTTTTCTGTGAGGCCGTGATTAACAATAACAACAGGCAGCAACAAGAGAAAAAAATATCAAAAACTTGCGCTCGAAATGTTAAATGTACCATGTGATAAAGTAATCAAGTCATCAAACCGGTTTTTTGAGTAATTTTTAAACATAAGTTCGGATGTATTGTAGCGTGTAATCGTTAGGAGCGTTATTTATGATTCAAAATGTATTTTTCGTTTAGAAGTTTTTAGTGAGCAGCACATTTTTCGGTGGCGGGTTCCGTGAATTTCGTTTGTAAATACCTCTAGATTATTTAGTGTAGGAGATTTAATAATATAATAATAATACCAATTTATTTCAGATAATAAAATCCATAAAATTACATTAAAAACGAATTCAGGTTCAAATTATATAAATTAACAAATTGACTTTATAGCTAGTATCATAAAATTAAAATAAAAATCAATTCGTTCATTCATCCAATAATCAAAATAATAAATTACACAAACACACAAAGAACATACATAGTCAATTAATTATAAGTAGTCAGTTTCAATTATAAATAATCAATACAATCTCAATATAAGTCAATAATAATACAAGTCAATAAAAAATACAAGTCAATAGATAATAATACAAGTCAATAGATAATAATACAAGTCAATAGATAATACAATTCAATAGATAATAATACAAGTCAATAATATAGGTATGTCAACTATAAATATGAGGGACCGCTCGCGTGCAATCGCATCCACCTCATCAGCATTGGTGAGTCCCACCGCTGGGACAATGTGCTCAGAATACCATTCGGGCTGCCACGCACACGCCTTAACAGCGAGGCGCACCTTTTCCTGATTATGGCGAAAAAATCATCAGTTTGCGCCTCAGCAAACATAGCGGAAGCACTACAAAAACGTGGCAGCCCCAATAATATCCTAAACGCATTGTTATACTGCACTCGCAGTGCACTGTACCCCCGCAGCGCAAAATTAGTCCACAGGCTGCACGTGTAAAAGGTCTGGCAGTACGCCTTGAATAATGTTATCTTTACTTGAGTAGTACAACGTGCAAACCTGCGAGCCAACATATTACACCGGATGGACAGAGCCCTGCGTTCCCTCTCGATGTCCTCATTGTCACACAAGTCTTCAGTCACCCAGTGACCCAGATACTTAAAGGCACTAACCTTTTTCAGACGCATGCCGCACAGAGTTACATGAGGAACATGGGAGTAGCATTTGCTACGTGACTTGAACACCATGAACTCACTCTTATTCGCGTTGTATCTGAGCCCATGGGCTTCCGCGTATGATTGACAGATGCACATCAATTTCCGTAACGCTGCAATCGATGGGCTCAGTAACACCATATCATCAGCGTAGCTTATGTTATTTATACTGACTCCGTCTATGGAACATCCGATACCAGTGTTACTGAGCTCACCGATGAGCCGGTTCATGTACAAATTAAAGAGATGAGGGGAGCTAATTCCCCCTGCCTAACTCCGCATTCCAAACCGTATACATCAGAATGTGCACCAGCCCATCTCACTCTGTTGCGCTGATTGGCGTACCAGAACCTCAGCAATGAAATTACCTCCCGAGGTACCTCCGTGTCACTCTCCAGCTTCTGCCACAGCCTATCGTAACACACCAAGTCAAAAGCTTTTGATAAATCAAGGTAACATGCATAGACAGGTGTGCCACGACCAGTATAATACTGAACAGTCCGCTTGAGGCAGAGGATAGCATCCTCAGTTGAAAGTCCTGGTCTAAACCCAAACTGGGCGTCGTGTAATTGTAGACGCTCTTCCAACTGCTTGTCAAGCAAACTGTCCAGCACCTTTGCTATAACAGTAGCCAGAGAGATAGGTCTATAATTTGACAGATCCGATGAGTCACCTGTTTTATTCTTTAGGATCGGCACCACTGTAGTGTACATAAGTCTCTCGGGTAAGTAACTGTGACCAATACAGAGGCTGAAGAACATCGAGAGAACTCTAGGCAGGTGCATCCCTGCATACTTAAGGTGCTCGATGCTGAGATCATCGTGACCAGGAGACTTGCCCCTCACCATCTTATTTATAATAGTAGCAACTATCTTCGCAGTACATCGTACACTAATTGCGGTGATAAGATTCTCAGCAGCGGGCACCCGAGACGCCGGCCCGAGCGGGGACTCAACCCTGAAATGCCGCTGGAACGCACAAGCTATATCATGGGGGTCATGCTCACCACCAACGCTAGCAGGAAGGCTCGACCCCGGGCTTAGCTTTTTAGTGTTTTTCCAAAAACTACTAAAGTCTTTATTAAAATGGTTTTCTGCTATAATATTCATTTTTATTTGTGTTTCATTTTTCTGACAAGAAGCCAACTTTGATTTAAATATTTTTCTGGATTCACACATCCTAATATATAAATCACCAGACTTTGGTTTCCCAGCGGACACCCACGTCCGAAAACAAAATCGAGCCCTCCTGTGAGCGTCACTGACATACCGGTTCCAGCCAGTAACATACCTACGGTTGTAACGTTTAGGCACAGAATAGCTAGCTTTTGCAGCCCTCGTCAAAATATTAATTATCTTATTATACATGTCATCTAATAAATATTTATGCTCGTCAATATTACACATACCGTCAGCACAACATTGAAATTCCGGGGGAAAGTCAATTAACTTTAATTTAGAATTACAAATACGATGATATTTGTCTATTTGATTTGTATTTCTTTCTCCCCATTTTACACTATTGCGAGATATATTACTTGATTTCGTCG